CTTCTAGCTTTTCAGGTTCTCGAGTTAGCGACTGACCCGCGAAAAAATTCCACAGGCCCGCACGTGAGTACCACGCATACCCGATGTTTCGGTTTGAGCTCGTTGAGACTTACATGGACGGGGAACATCCTCTTAAAATACAACTTTCTAGCTTTTCAGGCCCCAGAATTAATAACCTATACACCAAAAATTTTCATGGGCCCGTACGCGAAAATCACGCACATTTGAGGGTTAGTTTTGAACTCATCAAGTCATATGTAGAGGAGGAACTTCGCCTTAAAATTTCAGCTTTTTAACATTTAAGGTTCCCGAATCAGCATTTTACCCATAAGAAGCTTTCACTGACCCGTCCGTGAGAACCACGTGCATCTGGCGGCTGAGTTTGAACTCATCAAGTTCTATGTGGGTGGGATAAGTCCTTTTTAAATTGCAGTTTTCTAGCTTTTCAGGTTATCGGGCTAGCAACCTACCCGCCAAAAACTTTCGCGGCTCCGTATGTGAAAACCGCTGGGCAATAGGAGCCCGTACATGCATGTAGATCAAGTTCCCAAAGCTTCAGCCATGTAACTTCTGCAGGTCTCGAGATAGACGTGCACACAGACACACTCAGACAACCCCTTGAAAATATGGGTTTTTGCATTGCACAGATGCCAAAAAACGCATAAAAAAACTCAAAAGGTGCGGTGCTTCCGTTGCAGAAAAACCAGACGAAGAGATCTCCAGAACTATAACCATCAACCAAAAGTAGTGCCGGCCCAAGAAAACGGGAGAGAAATGTCGCTTTTTCGTCATTCCACAGACTCGGCAACACAAAGTTCCTCCCTCTCCCCTCCCCCTTCCTCTCGCCCGCCATCCACGGTCGCCTGCTGCTGTAGCCCAATCGCAACAAGTTTTTTAGTAAGTCCAATAGGACAGAAAGCAAAAAAACAATTTTTCAGCAAGAGAAAAAGTAAAACAATTCCTCTCATCGAACCCTCGTGCTTCCAATCAATTCTTTTGGGTGGAGTTTTTGCAAGCTGTTGTTGTCCTGTTGAGGTCAAGCAGACATGGATGAGAAGGACTGGCAGTGACCTTCCCGCTACTGGTAGCCTCACGAAATGCATTTCATAATAATTCCAGCAGCGCAATTGGTGGATCTAGGCAAGGATCTTTCGCCTTCCTTCCCCCTTCCTCTCCCCCCGTCCCCTCTCCAAGGTCTTGCCAGAATGCTTCTCCTGGGGTAACTCCAGCTAGTAACCCCTTCTGGACATGAAACGAACTCAGTGTTTCTAGCAGGCCAATCATCAGGTAAGGTAACACTGATCAAAACGATTGGGGAAAAATTCCATTTTTGACATATTTAAAAACCAATCTATGAATTATGGTTATTAAAACTGTTAAGTTAATACAGTTTAAGAAATTTGTGTCACAACCGCCAACTATCCATTGGTGCTTAAGTTTTTGAGCAGAAAATCCACATGTTAACACAAAAATCCAATGTTAAAAGCTGCAAAATACCAAAAAAGCCCTAAAAAAATAAGAGAAAAATCCAAGCAAAAACATTTGTACATCACTGGCATAATGACAAACGTAGAAGAAAAAAGCACAGAAAAAAAATGAAGAGAAA